ATATATAAAATGTATGTATATATAATGTGTTATATGTTATATGTATAAATAAGGCTGCACAAGAAAAGTAGCGATACATGACTAAAAAACAATTCCATCGCTATTTCTGCAGCATTTCATCTATATATGAATTTCATTCGCATATATTATATATTGATATATTCTTAAAAAAACATAACGTGAAAATTAAAGCTACGAGTTTTATAACGAGTAAAGTAATGCATAGGAAAGGATGTAGGTATATCATTACTTGTCTCTTTTCATTTTTCCGCGGATATATCGATTCCCATTTCTTAAATCCGTGTATAATTAGGACGCGTATTTTCTATATAATATATATCTGTCTATTCATATTCTCTTTTATATCTTTTTTCTCTGTATAATATCGCTTCTGACGATCGGTGAGTGTAGCAGGATCTTGTTTTCTGCAGTGGACACAGAAGATACTCACTATTAACAAAAAGCTTTCTAGGTACATTCTCTCTTCTTATTTGCTTCAAACGATTTTTGTCGATTAATTATACGATTATAAAGTGTATGTTACAAAGTTATCACGGAAATCTTTCGATTCTCTTACGTTCGCCATTATTATCGCGCGAATACAGTTCGGAGCGTAGCAACTTATTTCGCATATTCTTTAGTACGAACACATGTTCACGACACACGAGGCTTCTTGTAACGAAAACAGATCTTTAATTTTAGAAAATACTTGTCTTAGTATTTTCGCGACCGAGCGCAAGGAGGGTCGGCCACAGAAAGAGCGCTGGATAAAAAAAGAAGAAGGAATAATATCCACGCGATATATTTCGTCCGAAGGACGACGCGTGGACGTCATAATAGCTTGCACGTCATACAGATACCATGTGATATGTCTTTCGAATGAGGTGTATTGTGTGTATACATATAGTCTCTGGCCTATTATTAGATGGATTTTTTGATAGGTTTATCTTGAGTGATCGATTTTCTTTTTACATATCTAAAGGTTTTCTTATTTGTTTCTCAATTAATAAAAATGTAGTTTTGTTAGTCATCCAATATTTATTTATTTTTTAATAAAAAGATATATAACATATATGTTTTTTAACTATTTTATTAATCACCATTGGCAACTGTTAAAATCTTGATTGTAATAATACATAATATTTAAATTAAATCTTATACTGACAAATAAAAAATAAACAAATAAAACGGAATTTTTATAATAGGAACGGAAAATATATGAATTTTTTTCTGTTTCTTTTACAACTGTAAAGAATTCATATTTTTTTATATATACATTGCGACGAGTGAATTAAAATATCCATTTAATAGACAACTATTTTCTTTACATATTTCAATCGGTTACAACAATGATGATAAATCTAATTTTTAAAAGACAATAAATTGTATAAAGTATGATGTGTCTAATAATATGGCCAGGAATTGTGTATATCTTTTTCAAAGTTACACGTCGCGCCTGTTGGCCGATTCTCTATTTATACGCTGTTGTCATGTGCTGCATGCCACTCTTTGGCTTTCGGCGTTGAGAAAAAAAACAGATTTATTTCACACTGGCTGCTTCTACGATCTTCAGCGACTTTTTCTCATAGATGTATAGTCGGTGTTGCAAAGACTGAAACATCTTTTTATCTTATTTTCATACTTGATATCTAACGGGAAAAAGAAAATACTCCCTATTGGATATCGTTATGAAAATAAGTAAAAAGAAAGTATATTTTGAATTCTTCTAACGCCGGCTATGCAAATTGTCGGATAAATAATTTCTCTTGGCATGCATGTTCTTGAAGGATCTATTGTAAGCGCTTCGAATGATTCTTCAATCGTTGCTTGTCTTCACAATGATAACTTTCTTAGAAAAGTCACACTTTACGTCTCGATCACGAGCAATTTCTTAACGATACAGTTTGAAGGCATTTCCTCACACGTGACCATCATAAGCGATAAATTTTCATAGGGCGGCTGTTTTGACTATTAGTAAAAGTAATTTAGTCTCGCACCTTCCCAACACACACACGTGCGCATTTCTGAATTACACACTTATCTTACTGCTCGTCTGCCTGCCTAATTATGTCGTTAACGACTGCCTCTGCCGATTGATTGTGCTCTTAATTATAAATTGATCTGCCCGCCTCAGTCTACGTCTTTGCGATCAGACACGCCCGAAAAAAATATGATTTCATAGTTGGCCCGAGACGGCGTATTCCTTCGAAGATCCATGGACTTTAAAAGGAACGAGGATTAAATCTGTCGACCACGCTGAAAAATGGCTAAAAAATTCAATTTTCCTCGCTCTTTATCTCCGCGCTTTTCTCTCTTTTTATTATTATTTTTTTTCTTCCTCTTCGCTAAGCTCAGTGTTTAGTCTCTCCGTCATGCAAGGCATTTATTTCCGTTTTTTTGAGCGGATCTCAAAAAGATAAGATAACGCGGCGCCAATCGGCTCGTGAGGAATACACCTCGGATAAGAATAACAGCTCGGATAGAAAACCATAAAGACATACGGTGAGTCCAGACGCAAAGGAGGAAGACGAGAGGAAGAAATTTGTGCTCTGCCGCGCCGGCCATCACGAATTATATGACGAATGCGAATGACGAAACGAAATGGTTGAATACCACGTATAGGCATACAGCAAGCCCGGGTTTTTGGTGGTACATATCGTCCCACCTGTACGGTACCACAGGTCCCGGTAGCGCCGCCCCGAAGACACCGATCCAGTCGCCAATGTCAATGCCAGTGCCGGTCGCAGCGGTTCCAATGCCAATGCCCATGCCCGTGCCAGTACCATCAGCAGGAGCAACAACAACAACAACAGCAGCCGCAGCAGCAGCAGCATCATCGCTGGCAACTGTTGTCGCGTCTGCAGCAGCTACCGCATCATCGGCGACCAACGAGCCCACCACCGCCAAGACTCTAAACCGATTCCTCCGAGGTAAATTACAGGTCCGCTCTGCCAGACCAGAGAGTCTAGAAATCAGCCGCATCCAGCATCTGAGATGTCCAACGAGCTGACAGCTGGCTCACCCGAATGGCTTTGACACACTATTTTCAGTTTTACATACATTACTAAGCACGCGTTCATACACGCAGACATATACATACATACATATTGTTATTTGTGTAATACTTTTCCTACGACTAACCGTCTATTATACATCCGTGCTACGTCCATTTCTCTCGTTCATGCTATCCATCCATTCTCGTTCGCGTTCATCTCTCGTTGCGCCCAGTGTGGTAAATTCGCTGTAAACTCCGTCAGTATCTGCAACTACTATTGAGAAGAATGTCTCAACGAGTCTCATGGCTTTCAATAACGCGCGCAATAATGCTGAAGACTGTTTCCTCGTTTTTTTTTTTTCTTCTTTATTTTGACTCGCTAGACAGGAACTATCTTCGTCTCGCTGATGAGCAGGAGTTGCGCTCGACGAAACCTGCAATGTTGTTTTCCCGTGCTATTTTATTTTTACCGTTTGTGCTGTTCGGATATTCGAGCGTATGATTATGAATGGATTCTATAACATATATGGCGTCACTAATTACAAAAATGTAACACGTTATTTAGAATGGAAAGTATTTTACGCAAAGATATATTGACTTTCGCTCTAAAAAAAAAGCGATAATAAATTTGGCGATTTTAGCGGATTTCAGTTTTTGATAAATATTTGTTTAAGTATTTTTTTGTTAAGTATACTTGGGAAGAACGACTTTGTTAAAGTAAAAAATGTAGCTAGATACAAATCTGAAAATTAAATGTTGGATGCTCAAATTGAATTAGAATGTTTTTTTGCTAGAAAACTTTTTGCAGTCTTGCTGATCATACTTGAGCGTCCTATATAATTATTTTGATGGTCCAACATAATTTTCAAGTCTTTAGTGACAAAAATTTTCATAATATCTCATATTATTTTTAAAAGTTTATCTTTTTTTAATTTATGAAGATTTTCGAAAAAAATTTAAACTTCTTTAGATTTTATAAGTTTCTTTTTCAGAAATTATAGAATGAAAATTTTTTTTAATTTTAAAATATTTCAAAATTTCCATATAGTAGACCTGGGCAAAATACATCATTAAAGTATTTGAAATACAAAATACTTCAATACAAATTACTTACAAATTTTTTATTTCAAATATAAAATACATTGAATAATCTTTTACTTGAAAAACAAATTACGTTTCAAATACAAGTATTTAAAATATGCTCAGCCCTGATATATAGAAAAAATTCTAGAAAAAATTTCGACTTTTTCAGCACTTCTGAAAAATATTTTAATTCGTATAAGAAATTTCAGAACTTTTTAAAAAAGTAAGAAATTATAAGTAGAAATTATAAGTAGAAAAGTAGAAATTCTGAAAAATACTAAAATTTACATTAAAATTCTAAAAAGTTATATACAATTGTAAATTTTTAAATATTTTAGCCAAGTTGTTCTTTTTGTGAATATTTTATATGATTTTGAGCTTTTTAGCAATACCGTGCATTTTATTGTTTTTAAATACTTTTGTGTATATCGCCTCCCGTCTTTTCTTTTTAATCTCTATTTTTATATTACTTGACGACGCCCTTTATGAAAGTTGCAATTTACAAACATTTACTTACATTACGTACATCTATGTACATATCTTTCTCTACATATACTATGTACATATCTTTCTCATCCTGTGTTTTCAATTGTTTAAAGACATTTTCTTCATCAATTTCATGCTTTAGCACGAAAAAAAGAAAAGGCGTTGATGATGCTAATTATGTTATTATTGCAATGTATACAGCTATCGAAACAACGATTATTTTATTAATAACAGCAATAATAACCGAGTGATATGAGAATGCTGATAAGAAATTGAAAATGATAATTTATTAATCAATTCTTTTGTAACAACTTTTTGCGTTTACTATCGACGGTGTTTCGATACTGCCATTGTTATTGTTTATATTATTTCTATTGCAGTTTTTTTTTCGCAGCGATTTTGTTTCCGCAGGAATGCACTCACGCAAGAGTTCACCGGTTGCGCGATAAGCGAAGCGCATATACACTTACTGATATTCACCCTGTTTAGCGATTGTGTCACGATTATGTCCGTTACAATAACGACCAAGTAACCAATTCGGTGCTTTGAGTGTTTTTTTGGCGTATGAGTTCGCGCCGCGTCGAGCCTCACATATTCCGCGCAATTAACACAGATCTCCTATTACAGGTAGCGACCTTCTAACGAGCCTCACGACTACATTCGATCGCAAGTGGAGGTCCCTCGTCAATCAGTCATCTAATCAAACACAGCTTCCTTCAGAATCCACAGCCTGCAACAAGGACGACATTACGGAGTATCCGATACAGAAGTCGAGCGCGTCCTTAAGATTCAAATATCCGTCTACCGAAACTTATCGTGACCCGAGTCTTCATAAATCGCTCGACAAGAGTCACCTCTCCCGCTTAAAGGATGTAAGTATGCGATATTGCGCGTTGTAAAGTTATTTACTTCCGAAGTTATCATTGTTGTTAAAGCGAATGGATTATCTCAAATAACAAACTTTCGTTTAGATTTTAGTTTAGCGAAAGCGAGAACGTAACTCTAAAAGAATGCAACAATGTATACGCAAACACGCGAGCATATTTTAATGTGTAATAGTCAACCACATATTTTGCTTAACACTTTGACTGCCATGTGTATCTAGTTAGACTGCCGCATGTATCAGTTTAAATACACACACATTTGCTACTTAATATCACTGTGTTGGATAATTTTCTTCTAAATTTCGAGGTTTTTTCATCCAAGGATTTTTTTGGAGAGGTATTAAAAGTTTAGAAAAATTGGGGGACTTTTTGGGAAGAAAATACAAAAAAAATATCTAAATTGTGACTGAAATATTGAGAAAATAAAGACAAATTACATTAAAAAGTAACGAGTTACAAATTACGAGTTTTTTTTTTAGTAATAAGTGACTTTTCCAACCTATTATAAGTAACTATTGATTGTGATCAAATCTGATATTACATTATCATAAAAAATTCGCATCGTTATTATAACATCGTTATGATAACTAAATAACGACAGTTACAGTAACTAAATAACGTCAGTTACAGTAACTAGTTATTTCTATCCCTTATGGTTATTATTTATCATCAATTTCCATTTACGCAGGACGCTCCTGAAAAGGACACCGACTCAACGGTAACCGATGACATGCCGCATCCTTTGGAATCTGTCACACCGAACAACGATCGCGGCGCGAACGACAAGCAGAGACTGGAAACGAAGTCTGCGACAAATCATACGATGGAAAACGAGGATCAAAAAGATGTGGACGAAGGGGACGATCGTCTGCGTGTGGGAAACTCGAAACGATACGAATTGGCGAACGAAAAGAATCTTCAGGAAAGTAAATCGGAGAACAACGACGTTAGTGCAAAAGTGGAGGACAACAGCAGGAGTCATCATTACGAGACTGGAGATTCCAGTTACTCCAACAAACTGAAAAAATTTGAAAGCTTGACGAATTGTCAGGCGAGGTCTCGCTTAAAACGGTCGGAGTCTCTGAATAAGAGGACATGCGAGAACACCACATCACGATTAAAAAGATCGGAAAGTTTAAATAAACACTCAACCGAGAGACTATCACCGCTCAAACGATCTGAAAGCTTAAACAAACACTCCGATAGATCGGAGTCGCCGGGCAGTAAATTAAAACGCTCGGAATCGCTGACGAAGACTGAGAAGACCGAATGCAACATCAGCAAACGGCGACAATCGGTGCGAAAAGAGAGCGCCACGAAATTAAAGCGGAAGAACGGGATGTCGGAAAGATCGATCAAACGAAGGCACACTGTCGGTAGTACCAAGGATTTTGACAAGGTACATTGGCTCGATAATAAATTGCAATCGGAAGCCGAGAGAGTCATTAGAAGCGACTACAGACCGAAGAAGAGTCAGCTCAGAACCAGTTCTCCTGATCTCAGCACCAATCGAGTTGGCATGGCTGATACGAGCTTTCTGATCGAGGTGAGCTTTCGTGGACCCAGTAACGTCGTCTTCAACGTAACCAACGCCGCCCGACCGCAGTCATTGCCGGACGCGAGTCTTGCGTCCAAGGTTTTCAAGGTGCCCCTTGAGAGTCACGTATAATACACTTGAATAAGTCACTCGATATATTTCTGTATTCACCTTTAAATAATACGTGCACACGGTGCTGTTGTCATATCTATATCTACCTGCCATCATTTTTAATATACTTCTACCGATTTATATTATATATAAACGGAATTATATCAGATTTTTATATACTCCATAATAATTACATCACATCTTTGTTTGCCGGAAACGCTGACATTCATTAATCGCCAGTGTGCCAAAAATCTATGAATCATTTCTCGTTAATCGAATGATAATATCGAAGATTCATTATAACGGTTAGATGGATTAGATAAAGGAGAAAATGAGGAGATCTATCTCCACATTCTCTGCACTACAATATTTTAATCTTTAATTGAGTTTAATGTTTAACATTCGAAATGTTTAACGATCGAAAATCATTCTGGTTTATCGAGCCAGAAACTATTAGATTCTTTCTCTGTAAAGAAAAACACATTCTACTGATCTGCGGATAGCAAAAATGGAGCTAATCTGCATTGAGGCAACGTAAGAAAGTTATTTAGTGATTATATATTGCATGTGGTATCTGCATTGTGTCAATTTTATATATATAAATATATAGGTAAATATAAATACATATGTATACACATTATCTTTTACTTGTGAATTGTGATTGTGACATTTTTTTGTACATACGATGTATAATGCGAGCTGATTCGATTAAGCATTAACTATAGTAAAGTGACTATATATATTTTACGTCTTTAAATTTATATTTTAATAATCACTTAATAATCATATTGCAGATGTTCTATATGCGTGCGAAACTAGTTCGATCTTCATGTGCGAATTATTGGCTATATGCAAGAATGCATTATTTTTAACGCAGATATGACAAAGGTGATCATTAGGATAAAAATAATGATCATGCATGCGTTTTGCAGGCTTATAATTGCCGAGTTTCTACGACATGTAGTTGCGAGCAATCGGTACACTTGAAAGTTCTTTAAAAAGTAGCATCCATAGCGTTAAGAAACTTTTTTTACATAAGCTCTCCGATGAAAAGTCTACAATGTGATAAAAACTTAATTGCTCGCACCTGTACGTCGATGTACGTACACATATCGTTACGCGTACTACGGTTGTGTTGCGTGCATGCGTGCAGAGATTTACACGAGCGTGTGAAAAAACCTATTTTCTATGTGCATTGTGATCGATATTAACGATATCAATCCTGTACTCCTGCTGCTATTGCGTCATTGTAAATTTTATCGTACAGTAAAAGGCAAGGCGCGAACGGTGCCGTCAATTATACATTCGGTGCCTCGCACAATGCGGAATCTGCCCGTTTTAAGGTAAACTACGATGAGAATTTCTACGCGAATCTGTTAGGATCTCGACCGTTTTCCCAGATCGGCCAGATTTCCTATTGTGTCCCGTTACAAGGATGACACGTTAATCGGTGCAACACGTATATATATTGCTTGTATCGCCGTAAGATAGTTTACTCAATATTTCAGATGCTTGGGTCTCTTGTGTGGATCGTTAGTGTTGCATTATTTGTATCCCGAGAACTATATACTATGCAAAACTTTTTGCCTTTATCTTACCTTTGTAATTTGCGTTTAGCGCGCCGCGTCGTATTGCATCCAAGCTATCGATAAGCGAATTTCAAACGAGAAATCCACTCGTTCAATGCCGCGATTGTGGCTGGTGTCGCGCCCGGAATTTCGACTACGGATACACGAAAAAAAATGTATTAACAGCATTAGTTAACAGTAGTCTAATTGAAAACAACCTTAGTAAATCGTGACATCAAGCGAGAAATGTCGTTTGCTTATGACAATTCTCGCTTATGATGTCAAGATTTAATATGGCTAAGATTAAATACTCCAAGAATCTTAATAAAACATATAATATTTTATTTAAACATGATGTATTTTATTATTAATATTGAATTAACATAATTATTTTCGACTAGTTAGTTATGCTGTTAATAAATTTTTTTCTGCGAATTATAGAGAAGTCTGTATATGCGACATATTAATCGCGACTAATTTTAGTTTTAATATAAATGTAGAATTCACTCGGGATCAGCGCAATATATTCTACGTTAAGTTTATGTGTTAGAAGATTTAATCTGTAAATACGTACAGCTAAATTTTTTTCGCGAATCACCGTACATCACGTGTTATCTCTTCGTCTGTCCGGAGCGAGGCGTTTAAACAACGTTACGTAATACCAGTTATTGTCGCGCGAATTGAGAAGAGAAATAAAGTAGCCGAAGACAATCGATTTGATTATGCATGTAAATACAAATGTAACTAAATTCTAAGAGATGACGATAAAAAGAGCGATAATTTATTTCGAGAGGGATATAATGATTGTGATCGTGTTATTTATTATTAACCCAAGTGGATAATATGTTCATCGCAAATTCTTAAAAGAACACGAAATTGTAAATAAATATATTACTATGAAATTGAGAGATAGCTTTCAAGTGTTTCGCATCCTTGTCTTCTTCTATATAATTTAAGTCAATTGTGTTATCTCTCTAACGCTCAACATTTTTTGTATTTGAAAAAAGTTGTACATCTATAGTTGAAGAAATTGCATATAGATATGCAATTGCGAATAATTATATATATATATATATAAAAATGATTTATTTATAACTTTGAAGTAATAATGGATACAACACTGTATATATATATATATATATATATATA